CCGCCTCTTCAGTTGGATAAACAGCACTGATACCATTGTCGGTAGTCTCCTTCCCTGACTCAGGGTCGACGATCATTGTTTCTGACTCAGTTGAGCCAGTGGTAGAAGACGATTCAGGAGTAGATGGAGATTCGATACCCTCGACAGGCTTTTCGCTCCCTCGGGGATCTGTACAACGCCCTCTTCAGATTCAGAGACACCCTCAGGGACTTCGTCACTTTCCGCGGTGCCAGCACCTGGCTCGGCGCCTCCCAAAACACCATCAGTGTCGATTGGAGCTTGGATCCCGTCTTGCCCTGAGATTGGCTCTAGGTCATCAACTTGCTGAGGTTGAGAGCCAGTGGCGTCCGTCACGAGTGTGTCGATGGTGGTCTGATCGTTTGGATCCGTGGGAGTAATAACGCCCTCTTCCGCCTCCCCACTGCCCTTGTCGGTACTCTCTTCACTTCCTTCTTCAGGCCCAGTGGGTAGATCCTGGGGGCCTTGCCCGCTTCCCTGGACACCAGGATCGGTCTCAACATCTCCAACTCCAAGGACATCTTCAATATTATTATCTGTATCTGGCTCTTCCTGTCCTGATCCTAGCTCCAGACCATCGCCATCCTGAGACGGCTTTTCTTCACTGCCATCTGTTGTCACCTGGTCAGGAACCCCTGACCGGCTCCAGCTTCGGGGCTGATAGGTTTGTGATCACCCACTGCCGGCTTATCCTCGCCCTCTACCGACTGAATTTCACCCACGGTAGACCCTTCAGCACCTTCAACAGATCCAACATTGGGATCTTTTGGCTTATCGTCACTTCCGCTTCCCTCCTCAGGAATTTCGCTACTTTCATGGATACCAGTGTCTGGGCTATGCTCGCCGAGCCCCAGGACGTCCTCAGTGGCATCTGTTTCATTTTCCTCCTGTCCTGAGCCTGGCTCTAGGTCATCTTGATGAGCTGTAGAACCACTGCCCTCAGTTACCAGTTGGTCATCGATGTCCTGATCAATTCCGGTAGTGGGACCCGCCGGCTTGTCTTCGCTCTGAACAGATCCAGCGTTAGGGTCGGTGGGTTTGTCCTCACCTTCCAAAGGCTCTCCATCGCTCTCGGACCCACCAACAGGATCGACGGGTTTATTCACCGTGCTTCGACCGCCTCGCCGGATGCCACCACCAGCTCCGAGTATGGAATCCTCAGGGTCCTTGCCACTTCCTTGTACACCAGCATCTGAATCCCCGTCTTCGAATTCCGGAACATCCCCAATGTCGATCTCAGTTTGAGTCTCCTGTTGTCCTGAGCCTACTTCGAGGCCATCGCCTTGCTGAGAGGAGGTCCACTGCCTTCTGTCGTCAGCTGGTCGATGACTTCCTGACCAGAGTCCGGCATCGGGACTTGTAGGCCTGGTATCAGCATCCACAGGCTTATCCACGTCCTCTTGCGGGTTTTTCATTGCTGTCCACTGGCTTATCAACACCCTCGGCAAACCCCTCCGGCAACAGGATCGCCGGGACTGTGAACGTCCTTCACCAGCCTCTGAAACACCATCGACGGATTCGGGTGTGAAATCCTCGGGATCCTCACCACTTCCCTGTACACCAGCATCTGGCTCCCCGCTTACGGATTCCAGAACATCTTCAATATCGATTTCGTTGTCAATGATCTGTTCTGAGCCCGTATTGGGATCATTGCTTGCTGAGATAGAGATCCACTTCCCTCTGTCACCAGCTGGTCAGCGGGGACCCTGGTCAGATCCGGAAGCAGGGTCAGTTGGTTTGTTCTCGCCTTCAGTGTTTCCAGTAACAGCATCGGTGGGACTAGTCTCGCCCTCTGCAGCTCCGTCATCGCCTTCGGCAGGCTCCACAGCAACCTGAGAAGATCCCGCCGCGGGATCAGTGGGCTTCTCCTCACCCTCAGCCGATTCTGTTGTAGGCACCGTGGGCTTTTCCTCACCCTCCACAGGCTTGTCTTCACCCTCTAGGGTTTCATCGCTAGTCTGACTGGAACCTTCAGCAGTGTCTATTGGCTGATCGCCACTTCCAAGGACGTTGTCGTCCACACCTTGTCCTCCACTGCCTCCGGAAACATCGATGTTGCTATCGATGGGCGTTTCTTGCGAGCCGTGACCAGGGATGTTATCTTCGCCCGGCAGAGGTAGGTAGGTACCCTCCTCGCTACCAGGCTCACCCTCCTGACTAGTCGATGCTGGCTTCTCCGTGCTCGGCTGTTCGATGCCTGGGCCCTCCGTGGAGGGTGACTGGACGTCTGGGGCTGCGGTGGAGACGCTGATAACCTCCTGGCCCGGTCCTTCCGTAGTGACGACGACAGAACCAGACGACACGCCGCCGGGCAGCTCTGACGCCGTCAGATTCAGGCTCTCCAGCACCGAGATGTCTGTAACAGCAAAACGACAGTCCCATGTATAAATTATAAAAAACTTGGCCCAGAGTCATAACCAGAAGGATAGCAGACATGCGACGGAAGTCATCCATATAACCACGATCAAATTTCCCAATGTTATCACGGTTTGTTATCGCTGGATACAGCTGACTAGTGACGTACTGTGATATGTATCTCAGTTTCATGCCTTTCTCTCGTGACTTTAACATAAGTAAGCGTATTCACAGCTATTGGGATCTCGGCTGACTCCCTGCGTACTCACCGCATGAGTATTCGGAAGGGCAGCACTGCCCAGCCTTGGCCGCCAGCGGGCGGCAGTCCATGCCCTCCAGCTCGTCTGGCCGTCTGCACACCTGCGTGGCGCACACCACCTCGCCGCTCAGGCACAGGCAGTACTTGCACGGGTCCGGGTGAGTAATGACGTCACCCTCGTCATGGATCACGCCGTCCAGATAACACTGCAGCGTGACGGGGGGCTCCACCGTGTTACCTGCGGAAAAGGAAGGGCAGGTGAGCGAGGAATCCACAGAATGCTAGTGGTAACGAAGATGTAATGTGCGTATCTTGCAGCTGTAAAGTTAACAAAAGGCCACCGTGATTTTACGCGCGGTGATAAATGTTCGTTTTACATCATTACAATATATTGCTTTTAACAGAAAACCACTTGAAAGATATCCTCTGGCTTATCCAAGACCTTTTAAATAAAAACCGCTGATTAACCTCCATTGCCATCCTTGGGCATGAAGCTAATACTCACTGCAATCGTAAGCGGGGCAGCACGATCCCTTGGTATAGTACGGTCGGCAGTTGCCCGTGGGCGCAACAGGACAGCTGCGAGTCTTGCACTCCATGACCGAGTTGGAGCAGACGCAGCTGATCTGACACTGGCTGCTGGTAGGCACAGAGACGCCTGATCCGTAGGTAACGCCGTCAATCAGGCACGAGCCTTCGCCGGGCACTGCTGCCGTCGGCCCGTCCTCCTTGTCCTCGGCCTCCGTTTGACTGGCGCTCTCGAGAGTCTGTTCCTGTTCTCCACCGGCAGGCAGGTCTGTAGAGGTCTCTCCTGGCATCGAGTCAGCCGGCTGGACGCCAGCAACGGTATCGTCCGTTTCAGATCCAGGGATCACTTCGGCTGGCTTGGAATCATCGGTGGTCTCAGAGCCAGGGATCACTTCGGCTGGCTGGGAACCATCGGCAGTCTCGGAGCCAGGGGTCACTTCGCCGGGCTGGGAACCATCGGTGGTCTCAGAGCCGGGAACCACTTCGGCGGGCTTGTAGTCGTCGGTACTCCCAGAGCCAGGGGTCACTTCGCCGGGCTGGGAACCATCGGTAGTCTCAGAGCCAGGAGTCACCTCGCCGGGCTGGGAACCATCGGTAGTCTCAGAGCCAGGAGTCACTTCGCCGGGCTGGGAACCATCGGTGGTCTCAGAGCCGGGAACCACTTCGGCGGGCTTGTAGTCGTCGGTACTCCCAGAGCCAGGGGTCACTTCGCCGGGCTGGGAACCATCAGTAGTCACCTCGCCGGGCTGGGAACCATCGGTGGTCTCAGAGCCAGGAGTCACCTCGCCGGGCTGGGAACCATCGGTAGTCTCAGAGCCAGGGGTCACTTCGCCGGGCTGGGAACCATCGGTAGTCTCAGAGCCAGGAGTCACCTCGCCGGGCTGGGAACCATCGGTAGTCTCAGAGCCAGGGATCACTTCGCCGGGCTGGGAACCATCGGCAGTCTCAGAGCCAGGAGTCATCTCGCCGGGCTGGGAACCATCGGTAGTCTCAGAGCCAGGGGTCACTTCGCCGGGCTGGGAACCATCGGTGGTCTCAGAGCCGGGAACCACTTCGGCGGGTTTGTAGTCGTCGGTACTCCCAGAGCCAGGAGTCACTTCGTCGGGCTGGGAACCATCGGCAGTCTCAGAGCCAGGGATCGCTTCGCCGGGCTGGGAACCATCGGCAATCTCAGAACCAGGAGTCACCTCGCCGGGCTGGGAACCATCGGTAGTCTGTGAACCAGGGGTCACTTCGCCGGGCTGAGAACCATCGGTGGTCTCAGAGCCAGGAGCCACCTCGCCGGGCTGGGCACCATCGGTGGTCTCAGAACCGGGAACCACTTCGGTGGGCTTGTAGTCGTCGGTACTCCCAGAGCCAGGAGTCACTTGGCCGGGCTGGGAACCATCGGCAGTCTCAGAGCCAGGGGTCACATCGCCGGGCTGGGAACCATCTGTGGTCTCAGAGCCAGGGATCACTTCGCCGGGCTGGGAACCATCGATAGTCACCTCGCCGGGCTGGGAACCATCGATGGTCTCAGAGCCAGGGATCACTTGGCCGGGCTGGGAACCATCGGCAGTCTCAGAGCCAGGGGTCACTTCGCCGGGCTGGGAACCATCGGCAGTCTCAGAGCCAGGGATCACTTCGCCGGGCTGGGAACCATCGGTGGTCTCAGAGCCGGGAACCACTTCGGCGGGCTTGTAGTCGTCGGTACTCCCAGAGCCAGGAGTCACTTCGCCGGGCTGGGAACCGTCGGTGGTCTCAGAGCCAGGGATCACTTGGCCGGGCTGGGAACCATCGGCAGTCTCAGAGCCAGGAGTCACCTCGCCGGGCTGGGAACCCTCGGTAGTCTCAGAGCCAGGGGTCACTTCACCGGGCTGGGAACCATCGGCAGTCTCAGAGCCAGGGGTCACTTGGCCGGGCTGGGAACCATCGGTGGTCTCAGAGCCGGGAACCACTTCGGCGGGCTTGTAGTCGTCGGTACTCCCAGAGCCAGGAGTCACTTCACCGGGCTGGGAACCATCGGCAGTCTCAGAGCCAGGGATCACTTCGCCGGGCTGGGAACCATCGGCAGTCTCAGAGCCAGGAGTCACCTCGCCGGGCTGGGAACCATCGGTAGTCTCAGAGCCAGGGATCACTTGGCCGGGCTGGGAACCATCGGTGGTCTCAGAGCCGGGAACCACTTCACCGGGCTGGGAACCATCGGCAGTCTCAGAGCCAGGGGTCACTTCGCCGGGCTGGGAACCATCGGTGGTCTCAGAGCCGGGAACAACTTCGCCGGGCTGGGAACCATCGGCAGTCTCAGAGCCAGGGGTCACTTGGCCGGGCTGGGAACCATCGGTGGTCTCAGAGCCGGGAACCACTTCGGCGGGCTTGTAGTCGTCGGTACTCCCAGAGCCAGGAGTCACTTCGCCGGGCTGGGAACCGTCGGTGGTCTCAGAGCCAGGAGTCACTTCGCCGGGCTGGGAACCATCGGTGGTCTCAGAGCCAGGAGTCACTTCGCCGGGCTGGGAACCATCGGTGGTCTCAGAACCAGGGATCACTTCGCTAGGCTGGGAACCATCGGCAGTCTCAGAGCCAGGGGTCACTTCGCCGGGCTGGGAACCATCGGTGGTCTCAGAGCCGGGAACCACTTCGGCGGGCTTGGTGTCGTCGGTACTCCCAGAGCCAGGGGTCATTTCGCCGGGCTGGGAACCATCGGTGGTCTCAGAACCATGGATCCCTTCGCTAGGCTGGGAACCATCGGCAGTCTCAGAGCCAGGGGTCACTTCGCCGGGCTGGGAACCATCGGTAGTCTCAGAGCCAGGGGTCACTTCGCCGGGCTGGGAACCATCGGTGGTCTCAGAGCCGGGAACCACTTCGGCGGGCTTGTAGTCGTCGGTACTCCCAGAGCCAGGAGTCACTTCGCCAGGCTGGGAACCGTCGGTGGTCTCAGAGCCAGGGATCACTTGGCCGGGCTGGGAACCATCGGTGGTCTCAGAGCCGGGAACCACTTCACCGGGCTGGGAACCATCGGTGGTCTCAGAACCAGGGATCACTTCGCTAGGCTGGGAACCATCGGCAGTCTCAGAGCCAGGGGTCACTTGGCCGGGCTGGGAACCATCGGTGGTCTCAGAGCCGGGAACCACTTCGGCGGGCTTGTAGTCGTCGGTACTCCCAGAGCCAGGGGTCACTTCGCCGGGCTGGGAACCATCGGTAGTCTCAGAGCCGGGGATCACTTCGGTGATGACAGGAGCCTCGGTGGTTTGGACACCGGGCACAAGTCCGTGAATATCGGTAGCTGATTCAGACACGCCATCTGGAACACTTCCGGCAGGATCCTCGCCAGAACCCTCGATCTCACCAACACCCTCAATCATGGGCGTCTGTGTGTTCTCACCGCCCTGAGCGGGGATTTCGCCAGATCCCTGAGCACCACCCTCACTGCCGAAGGAAGGCTCCGTTCCATCACCATCCGCGTGGGGGTCAGACGCATCACCAGATCCTTGAATCACGCTCCCGTTATCCGGCGTCGTTTGTTCTTCGCCCACGCCTTCCTGCTGCACGGGACGGTCACCTGAGCCCTGCTGCCCCTCTTCGATCTCCTGCTCCGTCACTGCCGGTCCGCTGCCGTCAATAGAGATCAGCTGGTCTCCGGAAGTCTCCGTCTGGTCATGGCCGTCCCCAGAGCCGAGCCCGAGGGCGTCGCTCAGCGCGTCAATGAGGGCTGATTCGATATCGCCGTCCGGTGTCACGTCGCCAGAGCCGGAATCAACTTCCGATGCGATGCCGGACGGTCCAATGTCGATATCAGTGACGGGGTAGGTAGGCTGGGCGCCAGTCCCACTTCCTGCAGGCTTCGTGGTGGGGGACGTGGGGATCTCTGTGGCTGAATCGCCTTCGGTTGGGGTCTGTGCGGTCGAGGTCTGTTCGTTGGAAGCTCCCTCTTCTGTGGTGCCAGGCTCAATCGGGACATTTTGTGAACCGGATGGCTGATCTTCCTCGGAAGCAGAGCCCTCAACGACGTTTCCTTCCTCCTCAGTGCCCGGGATCTCACCTTCGTCAACTCCCGACCCTTCGATGCTAACCACAACCTCGATACCAATTGGTTGCTGATCTTCATTCCCAGATCCTTCAATAGTGCCTGTCTCTGTCACTGTTCCAGGAACCAGACCTTCCTCACCTTCGGTGCCCTCGATCGTAGCCGAACCTTGTTCACCTACAGGAGCATTAATTTCCCCGGCTCCAGATCCTTGGATGATAGCTGGCTCTTGGCCAGACGCAGGAGTTTCTTGACCTTCGTCAGTGCCGGATACATCACCGACACCAAGGTTCTCTTGGTCCGGAAGCAGCATATCGGTGGTAGTTAGGTCCTCTGGATTTTCCGGAACACCGTCACCTTCACCGGGGGTTTGAGGAATGGCCTGCTCATCACCTGAGGTAGGCTTATCCCCAGAGGCTTCTGATCCTGAGAGTATGTCAGGTCCGGTAGTTGTAGATACGTCATCACCAGGGACGATATCAACCATGGACTCGCCCTCCAGAGCTTCTGGTGTCTCTCCAGAAGAAGTGGGAATGTCGCCAGACCCCTCGAGGATGCTGATGTTGATCAGTTCACCGTCAGCTACGGATACACCAGACCCATCAGCATGTTCTGGTGATTCTTCTGATCCCACTTCGCCTGCAGGCGCTGCATGGTCAGTTCCTGGCGCAGAAATTTCCCCTTGAGACCCACCCTCCTCTCCTTCCCCAGCAGGTACCGGTGAATCGATCCCTTGACCAGACACCTCCTCCGATTCATCCTCATCAAGACCCTCGTCAGGCTGAGTGCCATCAGGGACCGTGATGAGAAGGTCACCCCCGCTTCCGGATGGCGTACCTTCGATCGAGCCTTGGTCACTGCCCGGCATCAGCTCATCTCCAGACGTCTCTATCACTTGAGTAATTGAGTCGGGATCTGCAACACCTTCATTGTCAGTGGTTGGAGGGTATGGGTACTCGTCCGTCGATGCTTCAGGACCTTGGCCAGACTCTTCGGTCTGCGCGTCCACCAGCTCAGACTCGGAAAGGTCACTACCAGGACCAGGGCGTTCAGTACTGACCCCGCTATGCTCGGGAAGGTATTCAATCGATCCAGATGCCTCAACATTATCTCCGTCACCAGAAATCTCGGGTGCATCAACGGCTGAATCCGAACCATCCGAGGCTGCCTCAGCATTTTCACCGCCGGCAACCGGAGCGCCTGAACCAGACTCTAAGTCAGTACTGGGGTCAACTTCGGTATCCTGAGAAGACGGATCAGTGCCTGATGTCTCTGTCGAACCATGAGCTTCCCCAACTTCTGTAACCACTTCATCCACCGTTGAGCCTGGCACAGAGATTTGGAGTTCGTCTGGAGAAGGGCCGTCTTCACCATGCCCGCTGGCGGGTCCAAGACTGCCGGATCCGTCCTCTAGCTCACCAGACTCCTCGCCTTGATTGTCAGGCAGCGGTGTGTCGGTCGGCTTCCCTTCCTCCACCTCGTTGCTGGATCCGGCAATTTGCTCAAACTCAGAGTCAGGGATGGATGGAATGTTGATGGTCCCCTCAATGGTCTCCGCTGTCGAATCCTCCCCGATCTGTTCGCTGGAGCTCTCGGGTATTTCAGCCATTGAAGCAGAGCCCTCGTGGCCATCGGACACACCGTCCACACCAGGGTATTCCCCACCTTGTCCACCTCCAGGAAGGACGAAGATCGTGCCATCCTCGCCAGTCGTTTGTCCTTGAGACTGGCCATCTGCAGCGTCAGACTCGACAGGTATTTCGTCTCCAGAAGAGGACGTGACTTCAGAAGCTGTCTGGTCTGAGGGGGCTTCCTCTCCCGCGCCCGAGCCAGGCGTCTCATCGATCTCAATACCAGATCCATCTGTATCGATGATCGTGAGGTCGCCATCTTGACTCTGGCTTTCCGGCTCGGTTCCATCGCCATCTTCTCCAACGGTAGGCACGCCTGGTTCCTGGTCACCACCTGCTGGCGGAATAACACCTTCCTCTCCTACAGTCTGGCCTCCGGAGCCCTCCACCAACTGGCTGTCCCCGTCTCCTGAGGGGAGCGGGGCATTGGTAGCCCCATCTGTCTGAGGAATGACGGTGCTGGTGGACGCGTCTTGACCTTCCTGCAGCGTCTCGACTTCACCTTCGCCAGAAGGTCCGTCTGCTCCAAGCTCAGATGACTCCTCCGAGGTATGAGATTCAGACTCAGGGAGAGCAGCGGTGGGCACCTCAGTAGAGATAACTGAAATCATGAAATTGTTTTCAGCACAAAATAATGCACATGCGAGTAGGAGGGGAAAGTTACCAACATTTCAATAGTGCGTTTAACATTTCGCCCACAAAACATCCTGAGCACACGCATGTGGTTTTACATATGATGATTTGAACAACGCAAATATCAGCCTGGTTATGAGTTCCTTTCAAACCACATGCCCGCTGGCAGATCGCTGGAAGAGCTCACCTGTCGGCTGTTGTGTGTTTTCGTCCCCGCCTGCGGGCTGACCGGTGCCGGTCGGTTGGGTCTGCTCAGTGGCGCCCGCACCGCCGACCGCAGTCTCGGAGGTGATGCCGACTGGGCCAGGGGGCAGCGTTTGTGTCGGAAGACCCGGAGTGACGCCGCCGGCCTCGGTCACGGGGAACAGGTCGTCCCCGGAGCCCTCTTCTGGTGTCTCTGGTGACGTGACGTCACTAGGAAAACCGCCAGTCGGGGTTTCGGTTGGGTAGGTGTCGGTGCTCGATCCTCCAGGGTAGGCCCCGCCAGGGGTTTGGATGACAAACTCGTCAGTGCTGTCAGTCCCCGGTGCGTTTTCATCAGAAGCCTGGTCAGCTCCCGGTGCGTTGTCCTCAGAAGCCTGGTCAGCTCCCGGTGCGACTTCCTCAGATGCCTGGTCTCCAGAGGCATGCCCGTCGGTGGTCCCAGTGCCGGGTTCAAGATCCTCAGCGACTTCACCCGATGATTCGGCAGTAATACCATCGCCGGAAGCAGCATCATCAGGAGACTGCCCAGAGGACTCTTCAGAAGCATCAACGCCCGGAACAATACCCGCAGTTGACTCCTCAGCAGATTCATCGGTGGGCTCACTGCCCGGAACAATCCCTTCAAGAATATCAACCAAAGTTCCTCCGGGGGTCTCACTGATAGGAACATTTTCATCAGAAATCTCACCAGATGATTGTTCGACGACATCAATTCCAGGATCAACACCCTCACTAACCGCATCTGTGGGTTTCTCCGTGGTCTCGCTACCAGAATCGTCTTCTTCATAAGTGCCACCCGAAGATTCCTCATCGATGTCAGCACCCGAGGCAGAGCCCTCAGGGCTTCCATCGATTGATTCCTGAGTGGTCTCACTTCCGGTAGCAGGTTCTGAGCCAGGGACAGCCTCCTCTGCAACCGGCGTGTCCGCATCCCCCACGGGGCTAACAGCAGACTCTTGGCCACTCCCCTCCAGGATGGAGCTCTCTCCTCCCTCAATAACGGTTACTTCGGTGGCTTCTTCGGTGACCTCACCACCATCCTGGCCAACTTCTCCGAGAGGTTCAGGAAGATCGTCACTGGAGCCTCCAGATCCTACCAGCTCGTCTTCGGAAGGAAACAGGGGCTCAGTAACTGCTTCTCCCGAGCCAGGTGCCCCCTCCGTTACCTCAGATTCGCCACTGACCTCTGAGACCGATTCGCCTGCACCAGGGATTTCCTGGGTTCCAGAGCCTGAGATGGTGTTATCTCCCTGGCTCAGAATTTCGTCTCCTTCGAGTGGGCGATCTCCTTCAGCAGAATCGCCACTGGAGTCAACGCCATCGGCAGGGATCTCAGCTGTGCCAACATCCGCACCCGGAGCGGTGCTATCTTCAGCGATCTCTCCACTGCCCTCAGCAGCAGGAGCTCCCCCGTCAGGTGACTCACTGCTATCTTCAGTGATCTCTCCACTGCCCTCAGCAGCAGGAGCTCCCCCGTCAGGGGACCCACTGGGTGGTCCGCTAGTTTCGCCGGAACTTTCGGCTTGTCCACCCTCCACTCCGACTCCGGGCAGAATGCCTTCAACGTATGATTCGTCAAGCGCTCCCGAGCCGTCGGTCTCCGGAACGACTCCCGAGCCATCGGTTTGTAAGCCGTCTCCACTGGTCTCGATCTCCTCATCAGGAACCTGGACAACGCCCTGCGAATCAATGAGCTCGGTTTCGTCACCAGCTGCTCCTTCTCCGGGTTCTTGATCCCCTTCGACAGTGTCCACTCCCGTGATCAACCCACTTTCCCCCGTCTGCGAGGGCTGCTCGATGGCAGAGCCACCTGCCGGCGCGACAGTATCGCCCTCTGAAGCTTGCTCGGACGCTGGACCATGTCCGGTGGTGGCCTGCTCGAGCGGACTGCTCTCCTCGGTCTGTGCCGCCTCCTCGCCGTCAGTGGCCGCGCCACCGGGAGGGACGCTGCCGCCGCCGTGAGTAATACCACCTGAAAACGTATGGACATTGATGACGATGTTGCAATGGTTGTTGAGAACGTTGCACCGCTTGCTTGTGTGACTCGTTTGCCTGAGAAGTGCAAACTCATTAGCCTTTGAGCGACATGAAACTCTTGGACTGAGCCCAGACATTTGGCAATATCCAAACATCAAGCACATTTCGTTACCGCACTAGGCCACATGTATGCGCACGGAAACATCTTTACCGTTTCTTAGTCTGTCAGCATATAAGGGAGCACATCATGTCTTTCATTCAGCACACAGATTGTGTGCATCATTTAGCAGGGCAGATCATCACTATCATCTCTTTGCAAATACTGTAGCCAGGCCAGTTCATGCTAGAAGCAACTCTGGGATGCATGCAGGCAGCCCACAGCCCAGTCAGGGTTTATCACTGGGTAAGTGCTAGACAGGATCATTTTGTGAGTCTGAAACACCGAGCGTGCGGTGCAGTGTTCGCTAGCTGTGCTTCACATATAATGCAGTCCTGTTCACCTCACAAGTGCAGCATAAAGGTAAGGTTTACCGTTGCTTGGCAGAATAAGTGCATTACCCACTTTCCGTCCCTGTATTTGTATCTGTCGAGATGTGTTGCCTGAAATCATCAAGCAGTTTGGCTATTCAGTAAAGGACAGCGTAAGCAGTGATCGTTGAATGAATGCCGGGGGAGTACTATGCATGAAATGTGCATGATATGTGGTCTTGGTATTCGTTGTAATGCAAGAGCGAGATGATAGAATTAGGGAAGAAAAATAATATAGGGAAGAAGCAAGGTAAGCAAGACTCAGGTGTAGCTGCAAATGCAACGACAGCATTATTTCATTGGAGGAAATGCAGACAGAAAGCTCGCAAAAGGTCATGAAATGTGAGTGAACAGTAAGAGGAACGGATGAACATACGCTATAAGACATGTTCTCGGAGTTGGTGGCAAGTGCTGTGAGTCAGCCTGAACAGACGCAGAGGCGCGCCGGGTACGCCTCGGGCGTGTACTCACCACAGTTGTATTGGTCAGGGCAGCACTGGCCCGGCGACGGAGGCACCGGCTTGCACTGGGCGTGGGCGTGGTCCAGGGGTGAGGCACAGTCCTGTATGGCGCACTTGACCTCCGAGTGCATGCAGTAGCAGTGCTGGCACGGGTCCTCCGAGGGAATCTGGAGACAGAGCGCATTAGGTCAGGAAATACCTCTGACAGCGGCATCGGCTTCATTATCATGTATACAGACCCTGATACACTCCTTTGGGTTGACTGTGCAGTTTATTTGTCAACTTTTTCGGAAATTTGGTGAATCCAAGTAAGACAATGACACCAAGGACATAAACACTGATCGGCTATCGTAGCCCCTCGAATGGTACAAACGCTGCACACCTGGTCGCCGTCGTTGTAGAACACGCCGTTTTGCACGCAGCCGGTGTTGCCGGCGTCCGGCCGGAGGGTGGTGATGGGAGCTAGCGTGGTCGTCTCGTAATCTGAAATCACTTTCACGATTAACTCCTCGCATCACACGCAGTAGACGTCTGATGCTGAGGTTCTAGATTCTAAGGACACTGTTCAGTAAAGCCTCTTTTGAAGCAAAGTAAAACCGGCATCATCCATCAAGAGACCTGTTTCAGGAACTTCAAATGCATGTCATATGTTTGGGGTTCGACGCCGTCCACACGCCGATACTCCACTCAAGGCACAGATCGCTCACTAGATGTCACCACTGCCCGAGCACTCTGTGCAGATGGCGCTGGCTACGTACCGCATACGTATCGCACAGGGCAGCAGATGCCTTCCGCGTAGATAGGCTGGCACCCGGGCACTCTCATCGTGCACTCCTGTTGCACGCAAGCTGTGTGGTTCCGGATGCAGTAGCAGACGTCGCAGGGCTCATTCGGGTCAGATGGCACCTGGAGGCGGTCCAGGATGTCAGGTGCCAAATATCACCTACCCGCCGGAGGTGAAGGCGAACAAAAGGAGGTCTCAAATATGAGCTGACATGCGCCTGTTGAATATAAAAAGCTCAAACTATGCTTGGACATACACGAGTGATCTGAAAATGGTCATAGACACAGTACAGCACCCCGTGTAAGGGGTAACTTCGATGACTTTGTTTATGAGCTTATTTCTTTCATTTTGTTTTCTTGCCTTTTTGAGTCGTTCATCCTTGATCACAAATAATCTTGAACTTACATGTAAAGTGCTATCTACCATCAGTATCAATAAAAAACCAAATTGGCGCGAAGCGGACCATGGCCTGAATCACCACTGGCTGACCCGTCTCCCTGTCGTGTGGTGTTGCCCTGCACTCTCGGCGCCCCGTCCGTTCCAACCGCCGGGATCCCCCACTCACTGACCTGGGCGCCATCAGCATAGTACTGTCCATCCACCTGGCAGCCGGCGTCGCCGACGGCCAGCGGACTGAGCGCGGTCGGCGGCACCTCCGTCGTCGCCGTCTGGTTCATCATGCCCAGCATCTGCATGATGGGCACGGGAACTGCGGAGCAGAGGACATCGCCGGTGAGACACACGCACACACACACGGTCTGACGGACACCACGGGAGCAGGGCCGCCAGCTGACGGGTGCCACAGCAGCGGGGCCACCGGCTGACGGGTGCCACAGCAGCGGGGCCACCGGCCGACGGGTGCCACAGCAGCGGGGCCACCAGCTGACGGGTGCCACAGTAGTGGGGCCACCAGCTGACGCAGGGTTCAGTGCGCCGCGCTGTCTCGCCCTTTGTACACACCCAGCGACGGCTTCCCGTCCTCTGTACGCGCCCAGCGACGGCTTCCCGTCCTCTGTACACGCCCAACGAGAGCGGCATGGCGATCAGAGCGACATCGCCTGGGAGGCGCGGCAGCGACGCGCGACCGCCGCCAGACGGGGGTCGCCGGCCGCGCGTCTGGCCATTCCGTCGGGCCTCGTTGGGTGTGTGTTCACCCTGGCGCGCGCCAACTCGTGCGTTCAGGCGTCGCCCGCAGAGCGATCGATCGCTGACACGCCGACTGCGCCGGCGGAATCCGACAGGCCCGGCCGACTCTCGGCGATATTGGACATGCTCGCGGCTGCGAGCGTCAGTGGCGACAGCCGCCGGGCAAAGAGCAGTTGTGGGGTTGGTGGCGCGGAAACTGCGCGGAATGTTGATCGTCGAGGTCTGATGGATCCCAGGCTGGTTATGGATGTGTGGCGGGGTCAAACACATGTAAGCCTGATGTTGTCACGAGCTCGGTTGAGGGTCTACTTGACCCCCCTCCCCTTCCCTGAAGGGTTTCTCGAATTACTTCCAAGCGGTGCCGCGTAGCAGCGCCAAATGTTGTTGTTCTTGCAGGTAACTGAACAGTCAATGTTTCGGTGTAAACCAAGGGCTGTGTTCATTCATGCATATTTTAGATTGTATTTTAGACAACTAAACAGCTCATTTAGAATCTCGACTCATTTCATTGGTATTGAGCCAGGTAGCAATGGCAGAATGAGGTTGAAATAAATAACTTTGTCTTGAAATTATTGCTTTATCGGGTAGCCTATGACTGCCTTTGATAATTTCTTGATCGCAGAAACCTGAAAAGACAACTTACTTGAACTTCATGAAGGCCAAAGGAGGCTACTGGTCTAAAATTACCGCGACCAGCTTTTGTTTTTAGAAACATACTTCCAGCGTAATCCTTGGCGTTGACCTAGGTGAAAAATGAGAACAATTGCTTTCTGCATCCTTTTGAATGTATAATAAGGCCATTGACCAGAAGTTATAACCAGCGTCCTTGTGCTTAGAAGGGGTATCTAGAGTAACGGCGGTTGCATGGGGAGGTCTGTAGGCTCTTCGGTCACCAATTTGGAGCTTTTCCTTGCGTGAATTATGTGACCCGAGGGTCATGACCTAGCAACCTCATAGTTTGACACTAGTAAGTTCACATAAAGCCCCACCTACCTTGTAAATTTTATGTCTCGTCTGTCTAGCTCTCTTCATTTGTTAGATCTCAGTGGGGCGGATCGACCCCCGGTCCCCCGGTCCGCTTGGTCCCGTCGCATTCAACCGGCCTCCCTGACGCGTGTTTATAGCGCGTATCTACAAACCGGCTTCCCTGGCGCGTGTTTATAGCGCGCATCTAAAAACCGGCTTCCCTGGCGCGTGTTTATAGCGTGTATCTAAAAACCGGCTTCCCTGGCGCGTGTTTATAGCGCGCATCAACAAACCGGCTTCCCGCCGCGCATCTACAAACGCTCCACTTTGTGGTATTTCGACATTTTCAACCAGCACGCGCGGAAATAATTTTCCTGAACAAAATGATCACAAGGGGCGGATCAAGGACGTGCCATGAATACATCAAGCGCTGATCTAGAGCATCTGAATTTACATTGGCAATGCTCCGCATATAACATCCTCATCACCATGTGAAGGGCAGCGCCACCCGATTTGGCCGGCAACGAGTCGGGCCCGGTGGCGGCGCCGGCGACAGACCGGTCGCGTCTGGCCCGCAGACGGCTGGATGACCGTGCTGGCATGACATCACCGTCGCGTGTGCTCAGGCCTGGGGTGAGTGACCAGCCGCCCATCTTACCAACGTCGGCGGGGCTGACCCCTGCCATGGCGCGCCAGCACCGCCCATTGGGGGGGGGGGGGGCAGGCAGTCAAGCTGCAGCTGACCAAACCGGCGTCTCAGTGTTTATCGCCAGCCGGCTTTAACGGGCGCCGCTGTTGAAAGAGCTCGGTGCCACTACACCGCGCTCGCGTTAGCATACTGTCCCTCACGGCGGCGGCGATTTGTGTAAATGCTGCGGGGAGGGGGGGGGGGGGGGCTAGGAGGGGTGAGGGCCCGATACTACCATCTCTTCCTGAATATGAGTTTTTTGACGAATTTATCCACCATGGTAGAAAAGGCTTTTACCATTGTCCAATGCTTTAAAGTTTTTCACATAGTCCTTGTTTCACCGGCATAGTGCTCATGGACACCAAAGAATGATCAAAGAGACGATAGTCTTTGTTTGCGTTAAGATAACCTTTCTTTTTTGGGAGTGGGGGAGGGTCTTCGAGACAAATAGAAAAGTGACCTAACCCAACGTCAGTGGGTCACAAGTCAGCACTCAAAAACATTTCGTCGAGGCAATGGACACCGGCTGTTCTAATGACAAGACAGGACGAAACAGTAAGCAATAATAGGTAACGGGCATCTCCGCAAAGCTATACGTGGTGTCGTCTGCCGGCCATTCGACTGACCCGGACAGAGCATCCAAAACTTCTCTACAAATGTCAGCAGCGGCTGGCATAAAATGGGCGACTGACATCACGCAACGATCTCAGTCCGCCACAAGCAATTGGCTTATTAAGCTCAAAACGCGTTGTTTTCCCGCGTCGCACGCTAATACACGGTGGTATTGATCGCAATGAAAGACATTGTCAAAGCAACTTCTTAAGTTGAACTCGCCACGAAAACCCCAATGGGGCCCAAAGCACCACCACTGACCTTGCTCGCACGTCACGGTGGCGCAACAGTCGCCCGGCTTCTTCTCCATGGAGCACCCCTTCGTCAGAGGCATCACGTAGGGGCACACCTTCAGGAAGCACATGAGCATGTTGTTGCGGCAGGTGCAGTTCAGACACGGCTCGTCCGTCACAATCTGGTCGCCGTTGTTGTAGTGCTGCATCATGTGAAAGCATCCTGGAGCGGCGCGGGTCAAAGGTCAGTCATCTGGCCCACAGGAGACAAGGGCCGTCGTTAGCCAGGGTCGTCTCGAATCTCGAAGACTTCCGACTATTTGACGGGGAACTAAAACTGGTGAGTTATTCATACGATTTGTCGTTATGCTTATGTTGTTATGGCTCTAACAAGCCAATTCGATAGCTTTATTGCTCGCATCCATCATTACCAATGGCCGTAAATTCTGCATTGATGAAATTGTGGGCTTTGGCGTACAGTTGCGGAAGACATCGTTCAAGTTGCATGAAGTTATCGCACATTAACAGAACAAAAGCAACGTACCTGGTTCGTCTTCATCCCACTCAAGTGGTGCTGAAAAACAGAATGATCGCAATTACAGCAAGAGCATGGCTACGAACTTATCTGGTTCGGAAACATCACCAATGAAGCTGCAAAGTTGCAGTTAACTGTGCTGAAATGAGTCACAAGGAATTTAAAAAAACGCATTATCGAAGAGCTCTCTAACAAGTCGTCACTGTTCGGTTCGCAAATAATGCCCAGAAAAGGATCCTGGTTGATAAGTACATTTTGCGTCGCGCCAAGTGCGTTACACGCCACTTTGTGTTAGAGTCAAACAGGTGAAGGTTGTGACAGCGCTTTTATTACGCAGGATCAGCAGTTCGCACTAGACGTAGACAAATGAAGTGCTTAATAAGCCGGATATATCGTCCGTCACCTCATCAGCACCTAATCATTGCGGAATGTAGCATTCCTGCGTAGGCGCTGATACGGAGCACTGACCCAGGAACTGCGACAGATATTCGCCTTGCCAAAACTGGTCTTGCCGGCACGAGAACAGGATTAACAAGGTTGAAATATCTCTCCACCGTGTCATCATTTCAGAACATTTCGTTACAGTACGGCGCTTGCTTTACATCTTATTCTGGAAACTTTGAGTTTTGCAAATAACAAGAAAAGGGAGATTTTAGGGCACAACGCTGGCTGTGGTTGCAGCGGCAACCATCCCTATAATATATAAATGCAAAGGAATGGGACTTAAGTACCATGTGTAAATCACGATCTCAGCAAGATGATCACTCACATATGGCTTATCGTTTTCATGCCTTTGCGATGTAAAATGCGAGCCGTTCCATGGCCCATATCAAGTGCATGGTGCTGCTTGCCTGGATGCTGCCAGAATTGATTTGATGCGTTTTGATTATGAATGTCATTGGCTTTCAAAGGGCAATACGGTAACTTTGAAGCCTCGAAGCAGTGTACAGCAATCGCATCGCAGTGGTGTATTAAAACAGTGCTTTTGGAGTGACGGCGTACCTATTTCGAACGCAATCAAGCATTCGGCGCCCAGCATTCAACCCACGTCCGCGCGTTCATCTGATTGGTCTCATGTTTGGTCACGTGCCAGACCGTGTCACATCGCGGCCGGACAGGCGCTGCACGCTCTGCTGGGCGTCGGAGGGACACGAGCGGCGGCGGACGCCATTCGCGAACCGCTGAGGGGTGCCGGGCGGGTTGGCACCCGCCGCGCCCATGCCGGGGCTCCATAATTCATGACTGATGGCCGGCGGCGCCTCGCCTCAGCAGAAGCGCTGCCACCTAGACGGGCGGCTGGTTTATGTCGAGAGGAGCAGGGGTCAGGGTTGTCGGGTGGTGACCCCACTCACAGCCGGTCAACGTCACCACCAGGACCTGTCAGACTTCGTGGCAGGGCGACGGAGTGGCGGGGTGAGGAAGGGGGGGGGGAGGGGGCGCCGCCATCTGCAGCTGCTGGCTGCACCTTCCGCTCACCCTCCCCTCGCTCCCTCCCCGTTGTTCTGTGCCCGGTGCGGGCTGCATTGCCATGCATGCCTGCGGGGTCGGTGCCCGGCAGAGGCCCTCAGTGGTAGGATTTCCATTGCTAAAAGTCATCCGCTTTACATGGTGTCTTGGCCGCATGCTACTGCCGCTGCCATTCCTCATGAACCAGCTTTTGCAAAATTCATGCAAATGATGTAGGTGACAGTGAATATAAAGCCAATGCCATGATTTTTTGGTGCCTTTTAGGCTTTACGAGTCGTTTCTGATCTTCCCGCCCATACCCATACCCATAGCCAGAAAGTCACAAGCACATCTTCACAGTCCAGACAGGTACCCATTCCACAGGAAACCCACGCCTCTCCGTCCTTGTGAGAGCTATTGGCGGCTGTCCTTAAAGTCCAGCCCCCGTCTCGACTCGTCTGCAGGGCCTTGCCAAGCTTACCCTCTGTTTGATTTGTCCCCGCCGCTCAAGGAAGTCATGCATGCATAGGTCATGCATGTGTTTGCGTATAATATATTACATGGTAATGTTGTGTTATGGAAATGGAAGAATGCATACCGCATTTGTATTGAAATTGACGCACTTCCCGTAAATGCTGCAGATTCATAATGTTTGATCAGCGTGATGACTTTGTCATCCCAGCAGACTACAGCGGCCTAGACGTACTGCCTACAAAGCACGGAGAAGGCGTAAACCGATAGGAATGCTGACGCGAGGTGCCCTTTTTGTCACATCGTGCTCATCTTCAGCTGTGTGAATTGCATGTACGTGGCCCTCCAGCAGTTGTGGTCTCATGTGCACTCCATTGCTGGCTTCCTGACTCCTTGCGTACCTGAGCTGGCCGGTATCACAGACGCCGCCAGTAGCACCAGCAGAGGGAGCCACCTCCCCCACTGGCCGCTCTCCATCCTGCAACAGACCGGGGCCGGGGGGTCAGTCGCTGGCGGCAAACGCCTCGGCACGCGGCACCAGCACCGCCATTCCTCCTGTCCCACAAAAATAGTCTGCTACCCGACGCCGCCAGCACGAGCCCACCTCCGACTCTGACGCTGCCAGTACAAGCCCAACGCCGACCCTCATGACAGCGAGCGACCATTAGCCGGCAGGCAGCAGGCAGCAGCATTAGCCGGTAGGCAGCAGGCAGCAGCATTAGCCGCAGGATCAGGAGTCGCACCGACCGGGACGCGTCCGGGCCAGCTCCGAGGGCTGGCCGTGCCAGGACGGCTCCACGAACGGGGCCGCCGTCGCCGGGCGCCGTGACCGCGACCGCAGCCGCCGGAAGGCGCGTGACCGGCCCATAATCTGGCCGAGCGGACAGCGTCGCTCGGCAGCCGTGCTAACAGCCGCCGGCGGACCGGCTGACCCGGCGGCCAGTCGGCAGCCGCGGGGTCACTGACACGGCTGACGACAGGTGGTCCGGCCGCCGGCGGCGGCGGCGGCGGCGGCACGACCGAGCAGGATCCTCTCATCGGCCGGGGAGCGGCGGCCGCCAGCCCCGAGAGCCGCGGTCGACGCTCCCCAGCTCATTCACTGTCGCCTGTCGCCAGTGCAGACCTGACCCCATGTCGGTGATGGCAAATGAACATGTGAACACTTGTGGAGGGACAATGCCATTGAGCAGGCGGTGGACAATGCGGACATAGCATTGAGCTATGCTATAAGAGACAGAATGAGCGCCGACTCTGCACTTACATCTACCACCTGCACCCTTGGATGCAGATGCTACTTCTGCATTTAAATATATTGGCATGGCAAAAATTTCAAAAAGCTTGTTCAGTACAATAAACATAACTGGTGATGCAGCCTTGAATAACATTGAGGCAACTGCTCGCATTCTTCACCCCGTGTGCCTTGTACATGAGCCGCACATGGAGGATGCCGACATACAGACCTCTGCCACAACGGCCTTTTGCGGACAATTTATAGCGACGCCGTAAATGGCCCTTGCCCGTGCTGCTTCAGCCTTGACTTTCAAATACACCTCATGCATCATGCGGCGGCGGCGACGACCACGCCAACGGCCGGGCGCCAGGCAGATAACACCAGAGACTGCAGCCACGCAGCGGCCACTAGCCCCGGTCGCGGTGTGGCGCCTTCAGAAGTCGGATTGGCGGAGGCACATACTGGAGAGGCGGCCGGCTGTGACCGGCGATCGCGGCGCCGCCCATCCGTCTCGTCGCTCCGCGGCTCCGACCAACAGAGGGTGTGAACGCCTCGTCCTGAGCCGGGCCGGGCGACTACCGTTACCGGGCGGCGTCCGCCGCCACCGGTCGGCCGTCGACTCATCCCCGGCGCCCGGAAGACGTTCTGCTCGCTCGGATGGCGGCCGGCGCCCGCGCGCGCAGATCGGCCTTGACGGTGCGGCGTTCCCATGGCGCAGAGAGGATGCGCCGCTGGACGGGGCGCCACCACGTGGCGCCACTTGGGCGGACCCCGTTCTGCAGCACCTCTCCCGCGCTTGTTGCCCGGAACGCGGCCCGGACAAAGCACCCATAAAACAGGGCTCCATGTATATCGCGCTAATCTGGCGGGCCTAGGCGAGATCAAAAGCATCTTGCAGGGTGCATCGGCATGCTGACCACGTGCCCTCGGGTCAGCCGGAGCCAAAAATGCACTCTGAGTCACGGGATTATCATCATATATCAGCTGGCTTGCGCCCGCCAGCCACGGTCAGTCTTATCCGAGAAGATACAGGCAGGCGGCATAACAAGGATGCGTACAAATATATCCGGCTTTGAATTCTGTTCGAGCTGATTCCCGTACAAACAACACGATTCCTGGCATGATCGGTTACCACCCACATCTGCCAACACCTCGTATGGCTATTGGCGGGTGCGTGTGCGTGAGCATGACATCCCCATGAGCTGCTGCCCGGCCCCTCCCCACCCCCGCGTCCTTCAGTCGGCGGGTAACCTTGTAGCGGGCAGAGGTTCGCAGAGTAATTGCCGGTGATTCCGACGACTGGTTAGCTGCACGCCACTTCGACATGAGGCCGGCCCGGCTAATCGTCCTCCATTCCCACACATCCTGGCCCGGCCCGCCCTGGCCGTGAGAGTGCGGCTGGACAGAGACAGGCACCTGCCGCACCGTCCCCCGGGCCTGGGCTCGCCCGGCCCCCTTCTCCCCAGACACCTGCCGCACCATCCCTCCGGGTCCCCCCTTCCTCTGGACCGTCTTCAGTGTATTGCCCTTTCCGCCGTCGCCCGGCTCTCCAGGGGCTCTGTGCAAATATTTTGCGCTAACCTGCCCATTTGAATAAGCAAATTCGCGGCTGATTAATATTCATTCTTCTTCAGGCGGGTCGGAGGCAGGCCGGAGTCTAGAGCATCACACCTCCCCCCCACACCCTCTCCAGACCGACACACCCGCTGCCCGGCAACAAGGGTCGACGCGTCGGCAGAGGGAGCGCAAAGGGCCGTTGGTGTGTGCACGAGCACCTCGCGCGTCCTGTGTCGCCATCTGTGACCGCGCCTGGCGAGGGTCTGCGCGGCGCGAGAGAGGTGTTCCAACCGTAATCTAACGCATGCATATTACAGCGAAGCGACTGGTATTGTCGGACGCTGTCCGGCGCCGCAAAAAGCCGCCTCCGTCCGCTTGGTTTTGTGCTCCGACTGCCCTCAGCCGACATCCGTTAGAAGTGTGAAGACAATGAGCAGACCAGCAGTCTGGAATTTGTTACATTTCAGAGCGCGGAAGCCGTAATTAAAACGGCTGTTTTCAGTGACTTGTGTGTACAAAAGAAGTGCGATGGTATCACGACCGCTAAATTCACGACTTGCGACACCAAACAATGCCAGCCCAAAGGTCCCAAGTCTCCGTTATAAAGATAGGTGCGAACTGTCCATATGCACGCTGCTGAGCAGTTTCCGTAGCAAGCTCCGTGTGCATATGATCGAAGACAACCACCTTTAGCCGCTGCCATCAGCCGTCCAAGAGCGCTTTAGCGCCAGGTGCATGACGTTCACGCCGGTCGAACTCGCTGATTGGAAAAGGACACGACGGAAATTAGATAATTACTGAGAATCTATTACACGCGGCCCTGCGTCCATTGGGGCGGCGCGAGGCGCGGCTGTCGGTATTCGGGAAGTCCGAGGAATCCACATCTGCGTCGGCGTCAGATGAGACGGCGCTGACTCAGCATTGTCCTCTGCCTGCGCGGTGACTGGCGCGCGGCCGAATATCCGTCAATATCGGGCGGCGACCGCGGCTGAATGGCGGCCGGTCTCGTGCGTGATGGATTGGGCCTGGCGCGGGTCGTTGAACGCCGGCTGCCACGGAGATCGTGTTAGTAGCTCGTGACGGCTCCCACCCTGCACCGACTAGTGGTTGTCTCACCGGGTGAAAGGTGCTGATGAGTGTGAAGGTGGGGCCAGCGGCCTGTAAGGCATTGTTGCAACTGTGTATCGTTGTAAACCCATTTTGTGATCCTAGCATGCGAGTGCAAACGGCTGTATTTGTTAAGATAATCATGTTCTATGATATTAGAAAGGAATTGCTGAAATCGCGCCTTGAAAGTTCTGGAACTCAACGTCTTAGTATGAACAATACCAGTAGCGACACAAGAACATCCGTTGCCCTCCCAAGAACCGTCAACAACAGGCTGCTGCTAACAGGTATCAGTGCACACATAAAAGTCCCAAGGCTCGTTTGCATCTACTGCGGGCTGGAGTTCTGGGCACACCAGACGCCTGCAGCACCTCATGACGTAACGCCTGACGCCTGCAGCACCTCATGACGCCAGCCAGTCGTTCCTCTAGAGCAGCTCGAGAGTCGTCCGCCCACGCCCAGACAGGCGCCGCAGGAGACATGTCAATACTCCTATTAATCGATGATATCTATCTCCGAGTAAATAAACCGGTCGCGTTTGCCCGCAGCTAAGGGTGGTTGCAGCATTGGAGCACAAACTCGATTCAGGAAAAGCCCAGACCGTTGTTGGCTTTTTGACTAACCTAGCCTTTGACTAACCTAGCCTCTGTTGCGCAATCGATTCGTCGGAGGGATCAGGCTCAGCAGGTTTATTTCTGGGTATTAGGCACCAGCAAGGCACGCCTTTGCCTGAGGCATGCAGTTGTCCCGCGTCTCATGCTTTATCTGGGATCATTAAAACGGATCGGCGTCCGGCCTCAGGTCCACCGGTATTTCACGCGTCTGGACAAGCCATTCAATGCAAGCTAATCCCCTGGAATAACGGACTAACACCATATAAAGCGGCTGCCTCACCACGCGAGCGTGGCGGCTTCTGGCCGCCCTATCCCGGTGGGAGGGGAGACGTAAGGCGCATGACGACTTCTGGCCGCCCTATCCCGGTGGGAGAGGAGACGTGAGGCGCATGACTCCGTGGCCCAGATCGGACCGGCCATGGTATATCCATAACGGTGACCGTGGCGGCGCGTTAATTCCTCGGCCGACCGGTAAGACCGGCGACACCCTCGCCGGTGCGACCTCGGCTGCGGTCGCTGTTGACTTGCCGCCAGGACCACCCCGGATTAACGGGATGCCAGGGGTCAGGTGGATGACTGGCTGGCCGGCCGGCCGGTCTGCAGCGACCGCGGCGCGTGCTCGGCCCGGCACCGACAATGTCGAGTCACGGGGTCACTGGCAGGACACCATATCCGGCGGGACACGGACGCTTGGTGGATCGGCGACCATCTGGTGAGACGGAGCCTGGGTGGGTGCACTGAGCCCTGGTGCCAACGACCGAGGGCAGCGGGCCTATTTGAGAGCTGTCGCACCGGGAGTCAAGATGGAGTGCATCCCACGCCGCCAGAATCACCCACCTTTATGTACACTAATCTGTCTCTGGCGGTAGTAATGGGCCAATTCGGCGTCGCGGCCACTCGGAGTAACCCATTCGTCCTTCCCGAGTTCAATAACGGCTCGGGCCTCGGGAGGCGGCGATGGACATACCGGCGAGAGCGTTCACTCCGCCGGGCACTCATCGCTTCCTGGCGCCGGTCGCCTTCAGTCGTCGGCGACAATGACGGCGCGGGGCGGACGACCGCGCGGCAGACGTGACGCGCCGGCGGCCGGCGCCGCTCGTGACTGGCCGGCGGCGCGCTCTGCCAGCGGCCCGTGACAAGGGCGCGTCCTGACGCTGACCCCGGCTAGCACCGGAGGCACGGCAGCCGCGCCGGCAGCGGCAGCCGCCGCCTCAGCGCCGGCTCGCCGCCGAATCCGGCTGGCTTACTCGGATGAGGTCAAGTGACTCCGTGACAGGAAGTTCCAGAATGGTTCGGCGGCTGCTGATGGCAGGAATTTGATACGGGCGTCGATAATTTACCAGAAAGATGCAGGGACGATGATTATCTCAAAAGCATGGACGTGTCGTGATGAGAAGCTCTCTGCCACCTCCGGCGCCGAGAGGTATGAGGTTAATGTAAACAGCAAGCAGGAAAGCAGTAAAACCAAGGAGTTGCACTGCCTAATTTCCCTGGCCTGCACCAGCGCGTTGAACCAGCGTGCCCTTGAGATAAACACCCATAATGAGGCTGGTTATCTCAAGAAGAAGAGATCATCTAGACATGGTCTTTGCCTTTGAAAATCCTCGCATTAACGTGGAGAATCAGTAAATGATAAATACCTATATGCCTTAAAACTAATGCTAAAAAATTGGAACGCAGCCTGCCATAACCGTTGTCCCTGATAGCTTTATACTGACATGCTGTTATTGCCATGAGCATCTATCCCGCAACGTCAGGGAGTGCAACAAATAGCAGCTCGGTGAAATAATGGCTTCAGCTGTTTTTTTAGGTGAATGATGCGGAGCGTATTGGGGTTAGGCTCCCATTTCGTCAGGGACAGCGATGTTTTTGTGCCTAACATGACCTCCACTGGAGCTCGATTGCAAGAAAGGACTAAGATTTGCTACGAACATCCATGTATGAGACCGCAAGATCAATACAACCGGTTTGACCGCACCAAGATATCTCATGAGTACGCTATAATCTTGTGGGTTGGGAACTAACGTACTTATCCTTGTCCTTGCTGCCAGAGTTACATCATTGCTCAGAATGTTTATGACATCATTCATGCAGGCTTGATAGATCAGACTATCGGAGCGACAATGCCATGGCGTGACTCATGCACCTGCAGCGTTGAGTGGAGCGTGCTAGAAGTTTGAATGGCAGTGTAGGCAGAGCGCGCCATTGAACGCTGCACAATACGATACGATACTTGACTTTGTTTTCGCGTTTGAGTTTCCAAGCCCCAATCTAACTGAGCGGAAAGTGAGACCTGCAACCTTTACGCAGGATAATTGGTAGTCCAATCTGTAATCCGATTTACGGGTAATTTTCTGGATTGTAGAGCCTGTGCCAGTATCTATGTTACAGGGAATCATGAAGTACTGGTTTTAAAGTTATTGGATTCGGATGACTGCCGATTCAAAACCAAGACCTGAGTCGCCGTTACACCATTGTCTTTCGTTACGAAATGTCTTGGTTTTATTGGATAGGAGTAATTGTTTAAGAACTACCCAATTATGATCTAGGTACTTCAAGAGGTGTTTACTACCACTTATCTTTTCCCATTCATATGCTCCCAGAATCTTTTAGCGGCTTGTATATGTTTCCTCAACCAGAAAACCTGAGGGTATTAGTGGGGAAAAACGCGGTACTCTGTGAGCAAATGATGGACATTGTAGGAGCTTTCAACAGACACACGGATGAATGGCATCAACCTAAGAAAATGTTCGGCAGCTCTGAACCGTGCTATGCTTGTGTGATGTGATGCAGTCCACCGAGGGGACCTATTGCGCGTCGCAGTCTTTTACGCCCCGTCTCGCACCTGTCAGCGGCTGCTCAGCTGTTCATGTCAACGGAACGACATTCGGTGCTGTCATCAGGACACCGACGGCATGCCCCCAAGCCACACCGCGAGGTGGGAAGAGGCAGACGGGCTGCTCACCGAGTCGCCGCTCGTCCGACTCACCTGGTAATGCCCGATCTATCACAGAGTGCGCGCCGAGGCCCACGACGGCAGCGGCGGGATAGCCTGCGCGCCTGCTGCTATCACCACGTGCCGGCCGAGTCTGGCGCGGCTGGTGGTGCGGCCGACGGGGGTCGAGGAGGGCCGACTGGCCAGGAAGCGCTGCCGAGTCGGACTGACTGCTGGCGCCGGCAGCCTGCCCGCCTGGTAGAGCGGCGCAGACGCCAGCCTCCCGCTGATTGGCGCTCTGGGCGGCGGCGGAGCGCCGGCGGCGATGTCGTGGCCGGCCGGACCGGTCAGTCGGCCGGCCGGCGCCGGCGCCGATGACCTGGGCCCGACCCGGGCCGTGCCGGGAAGGTCGCGGAACACCGACGGCATCGCGGGAACGGCCCAGGAATGACGGGTGTCCGGTACAGGCCGGCACCGACGGAGAACGGGGAGGACATGACATGAAGAAAGACACAGACAGAGAGGGGGAGAGAGAGAGAGAGGGGGGACAGAGGAGAGAGAGAGAGAGAGAGAGAGAGAGAGAGAGAGAGAGAGAGAGAGAGAGAGAGAGAGAGAGAGAGAGGGAGAGAGAGAGAGACAGAGAGAGAGAGGGAGGGAGAGGGAGAGAGAGAGAAATAGGGAGAGAGTGAGACAGACAGACGATCAGACAGGCCGAAGGGAGGAATACAGGTCGAAAATGCGACAAAATACAACAGTATTTCAATAGGATGAGTCCAAATGATAAGGATAAGCATACAGATGCGCACAAATGCTAACCACAGGCAAAAAAGCAGGCTGATACGACGAGATGGGAATGATTACCGGGTGCGTACCAAAACTGTCTCGATAGGGAGGGATAACATCTTTAAGGTGGCCGGGCATTAGTCAGGTGCGGGAGAATGGCCAGGTCATTACGTTGCAGACATATGGGAACTATAACAAAGGGGAATTCTGAATGTCAGCCTGGATGGTGCTGGCTATGGATGCTGCCCGCTGAATATATGAGCGAGGGTGAATGCGAACGGGTTCAGGGAACGCCCAGTTTGGGTTTAGGTTCCGGGAAACAAGGAAAGGCCGTTATCGAGAGATTACAGGCTACAGGACGCCACAAAGAGGGGAGAGCCGACGAGAGTTAGCGCGTCCTGCTACAGGGCGCGCACTTAAAATGTCAATTTTAAATGTGCAAATAATTATTCTAAAAATAGGCCAAACATGCGGTATATGGCAAAAATTGTTGAAAACTGCGGTACATTCAGATTGGTGCTCATGACGCAACCATCATGGCCTGGGAACTAGATGTGAACGCTCCCAACCGGCGTTCAGCCGCTGAACATGCCATTTGCAAGACACCAGCAGGCGTCGATCATTTGCAAGATACCAGCAGGCGTCGATCATTTGCAAGACACCAGCAGGCGTCGGTCATTTGCAAGACACCAGCAGGCGTCGGTCATTTGCAAGACACCAGCAGGCGTCGATCATTCTGGAATTTTGGAGAAGTGCTTTCGTGTTCAGGGGATATCGTGGAAATGCCGTTAGGCCGATGAGCAATGACTATAAAAACAAAAATGATCGCTTATGCAAAGGAATGTGGTATCCAGAAAGCTGCTCATTAATGCGTTTGTACTTAATGCAAACTTTCTGAAACTGACATCTATAATAAAGCACCCTGTAGATATAGTTTGATGAGGCCAAGGATATATATGGGCACATGGCGTAATATTTGATGTCATTTAGGTCCAAAAGCAGCGAAATGGAAATTTACACGCTCCCGGGTGGCTGGTTGGGTACTCTCTGTTCGGGTGGGGGGTCAATTTGACCCCCCGAGATCTCAGGAACTAAGGAAGCTGGAAGCAACAAATTTTCTGGGTGTATTGGCCTGTAGCTAAACTCACTCAGGTCAAAGTTTAAGGTTTCTAGGTCATGAACTTCTAGTCAAATGAAGGTCAAACAAGATCAATTCCCAGGCTGGTCCCCAAAGTGCCTTCAGAACCTAGATACCTGTTCTAAGCAAAAGGTTACATGATCATTTAAGGTCAGTGACTTTGTTTGTCTTTTGAAGGTTATGGTGACTAAAATCATGCAATGCTACTTTTAAGTTTTGCGAAAAGGTCAAGTATTACGCTAGGCAATAAAAATGAAAAATAAAATAAGCGACAAGTATTACGCTAGGCAGTATGGCCTTAAAAGCAAAATGTTGACCTCCGTCTTATTAGGTCAGTGACCTTTTCTGACCGTTAACAAGTGCATGGCAAAATATAATGCGATTCCTGTTGTCAATAAATTTGAAATGTGCACCTGAATCTACCCCGGTCAGCAAGCCCTAGAGTAATAGAACATGTTGGCTTTTATCGTGGTATGACCTTCAAAACTGACCTTAGGTCAATGGAATTTGTTCATTCAATTGTTGCGTTGCCTAAGAAAGTATCTCACGGGTGTATGGTCTCCATTAACGTTCCGTTGTTATATCAAATCGAACGATCCCTTAGAAATTGACTTCACAAGCCCATGACCTGACTTTTACCTGCCGTAGGTCAGCGACCTCACAAGGTATATCTAAATTCTTGATATGAAACGATCCGCCTTTTAGTTCTCTACTTATATGCAAAATTTTGTGCGACTGCATTGCACTGTTCAGAAACCAGTCTGGAAAAACCTTTGAGGGGGTGGGGTCAATTTGATTTCCACCTGACTGCGTGTTAAGTGGCCGCAGACAAATCCCCTTTGTTGCTTTGAAATGCAATCTATAAGCCTTGAATTTTGGTACTGATATAAACGTTTTATGACAATATGGCGAGTTTGTTGGTAAAAAGATGCATGGTGCCACCACATACCCATTGCCCACATACCGAAACAAAATTTAAGCCAACCATCAGAAATTATCTCCTCAACATCCCACATGTACGGTTGCCTAAAACTACTTGAATGCTTACATATGTTTGTATGTGTATATGCATTTATGCATATCAACAATGCTGCTAGAAAATAGCATCTGCTCCGTTAACTTGCCAACTCTACCTAAAACTTCGTTGGCAGCCGTGACTACAATGGATTGACGACCACTTCACTTAAAAGACATGCCACAATGCTCATCCAGAATGGCGGCTCAAAACACACATGAAATCACACCATGACCAGCAGGGTGTCCCAGAATAACGGTGTTTGGGAAAGCATCACTCCTCGGGGCTAGTCTATTTCTGCGATACAACCCAATTTCAGCAGTTTCTTGTGTGTCAAAATTTGTGTATTTTTAGGCAATGCGCAGGGATTCAAAAGTTCTGTAATTTTAAGCTATTCACTGAGAGACCAGCAAAGCGTTGTAAAAATGAACGCTCATATCGGCTCGGGCGTTTGAAACGAAACCCTTAACGCTATCTTTCAATGCCGATTCCATATCTGTGACCGTGGCATCTAGTTGGCGTGTAACTTACTGAAGCGGAAAGGGATCTGGAGGAAGGTAGAGACAGCAATGCTTAAAAACGAAAATTTTCGAACTGCCTCTAAACGGGTATCTAAATAATCCTTGTGATAAAAGAGGCGCGTCGATGGTGCGTGTACAAATGTGATCTGGGTTCGTTTGACCTCTCTTTCACCCCACCTGACCTCACTTTGTCCTTTCTCTGTACAACCTCGATGAAGAGAACTTAAGTGTCAAACCACGTTAAGTTGAAAACAGATGCATCAAGCGGGCACCCAGGTCACATAATCACTTCCTAAATTAGTCATGGTAGTCATATTGTTCGCTACTTGAATTATAGTGTGTGCGGTGCATGTTGCTTATGAATGTGCTAATCTTCTGTCAGTGAGCTTCCACCTCCCGCAGAAGCCATTGCTGCTAACAGGCTACAAGGCTTGCAAGGCTTGTCACAGGCTACAAGGCTTGCAAAACTCTCCATCATTGACACACCCTGCTCTGCGTAATCATGTGCAGCTTTTGTAATTTTTGCACTCTTCTCAAGACACCGACAAAACGCATAGCAGTATTTGGCTTTCCTTTCATCAATTGACTGATTTAGCCACCGGCTAGCTTTGATCCGAATAAGCTGGAATATCACCCAAACGGACTCATCTATCAGATCCAACAATTGTCTCTCCGACTCCTTGAATGGCGTAACATCTTCGAAATATTTACCACCGGCTGAGACAAAAGCGCCGAAACCACGGCTCCTTTTACGTCACCGCTGACGTCACCCGCAACTAGACGGAACGCGACCGTCTCGGGCCTCAAATAGGCCAAGGGGAGGTGTATCACGGCCAACGCCGCTCTAATCACGGGCTTGCCACCCGTCCGGTAGTGCAGCAGGTTCTGGCACGGCTTCGGGTCATCCCTGAGGGCGTCAGCGGCACGCCGGAGCAGACAGCTCCGAGGGTAAGCCGCCCACTGACTTCCCTAGGCAAGAGCTGGGCTGTGCCGGAATCTGCTGCACTACCGGTCGGTTAACAAGCTCGTGGTCGAAACAGCGCTGGCCGTCATGTATCAACATTGAGCTTTTTTGAGCACCGATATGGTCTGATATGGTGCCGACTGGTTTTGCGTGACGTCATATGGTCGTGTGCCGACTGATTCCGGGCGACGTCATATGGCCGTGTGCCGACTGATTTCGGGTGACGTCATGTGGTCGTGTGCCGAATGATTTCGGATGACGTCAGTTGGCATCGATAATTAAATGACAGCCATGGTTTCGACACTGCCATCTATGCCAGTTACGAAGGATTTTGAGGATGCTGCACCATTCGTCAACCGAGACACAAACTGACGGATGTGGTAGATCAGCCTTCCTGGCTGGTATTCCATCTTATCCAGATCAATGCTAGCCGGTGGCAAAGAAAGCCATTTCTGGAATGGGTAGCCAACGAAGACTGTCCGTTTTATCACGATTTTGAGCGGCGTGCAATAGCTACGAATGAGGGGTGCATCTATGATTGAGCTCTTCGCGTGTGTTTTAATCGGTGGCAGCGATCAGCTGCAGTGGCTTCTACCGGAGGTGGAGCCCCACCAGCAGAAGACGAACACATTTAATAAGCTTACGGTGGACGGACATGCTTCTATGCATGCCGACGTACAATATGAGATATGCTCATAACAACCCTCCGGTACAATAATGATGTAAAGTCAAGGTTTCTCTTGCGCATATGTTCTGATTTGATGCGCATCCGTGGTCGTCTACATTTCT